ATAGATAGATAGATAGATAGATAGATAGATAGATAGATAGATAGATAAGATAGATAGAGTCAAGAGTCAATTTAAAAGGGGAGTGGATTAACAGGAAACCAATTGAGCCTTACTTTGTCTGGAATTAAAGTTTCTAGAGCAGGGTGATTCCCCCCATCCAGGGGGTGGGCCGTAACCAAAGGTGAAGGGCTAATGGTTTCCGGAGCCACCGTTAGACGAAACCGGTCCAAGAGTGAGTAGAGTCTTTGATGTCTTTAAAACAAACAAACAAACAAGCAAATGACTAGCTGTCTGCAAGGAATATAAATCCTTCCACTTCCCAACCATCTAGTCAGAGCTGAAGAAGCTTCTTGGAGGAGAAGCGAAACGTCTTCAAAATAAAGAAACAAGAAAGTCCAGTTGCCTCCTGCAAAAAGCACCTTTGGGACAACCATGGCCTGGAGGACTGATGATCTCTAGAGACTTTTAGTTTTACAATTTGGGACGAACACCCTTGGGATGGTGTGAGAGTAGGGATGGATTTCCAGAGGAGAAAAATTTCAGGCTACAAGAACCAGGAGCACCACTCCAAGCAGCCTCAATGGCTCTCTAAAAGGATGCAAATGACCAGCTGTCTGCAAGGAATATACATCTCTCGAGACTTTTAGCTATACAATTTGGAATGAACACCCTTGGGAGTAGGAATGGATTTCCAGAGGGGAAAAATTTCAGGCTACCATGACCTGGCTGAGTTGAGCATCTTTGCAGAGTCACCCAACAATAAAACCGAAATGACCAGCACCCTCTAAAGTCAGTGATGACTAGTGGAGTAAAATCCACAGGGGCTCCTTAGCCTTTTAGAGAAGGATTGAACGCAGGGATTCATTTTCAGGAAGTGAGGGAGGATAAAACTTGACAAATATTTGGCCACTTTCCATGCTGCAACAATCCATTGGGCATCACCTGTGGGCTAATCCGGCATTCTGCAGATATTCCTGGATTCGGTCCAGCTCTTCAACTGGCAACTGAGCCGTGCTGTTCTGCATTGAAAAAGAAAAAAGAAAAAAACAAGAAAGGCAGAAATGAAATGAGAAGGAAAAGCCGAAGTTGCCAACACTAACCGTAAAATACACTTTAACTTGAAAAAAAGACAGAATTTAAAACAACTCAGCTCGTTTTTGCTGCGGGACAAGTCACACCACTATCAAAGAAATGGTGGAACAGAATCGTTAAAGAAAGAACAGAAAATGAAAATAATCTTTACATTTATTTCAAATCGTTAAGATAGAATTGTTAAATTGTCCTACAGCGAGTTGTCCCTCAGTGAGTTGGCCAATTCTGCCAGGAAGAGGACTCTGTGCCAGGCCAATAGTCCTTCTCCCAACTTTGAAATCGAATGTTGTGGCTGACCAATGGCCAGCGGAGCTGGCAGCAGACTCAGACAGTGAGGAGGTTGGGAAGGAACCAACCTCAGTCCTGGAGTCTGGGGAAGGCTCGGACGAGGGCTCTGCATCGGAGGCAGAGATGAGGCCAGGGCCGTCCGACAATTATTAGCTGCCTTCGGAGTCAGAGTTAAGTGGGGAAGAAGAACATCTGGAACCTGTTCCCAGCATGCACATGCACAGAGCTGCCAGAAGAACGGAATAGTTAAGGAACAAAGGCCGACTTGGGAGTAAAGGCTCAGGCAGATGGTAAATGGCCCCTCCCATAAAGAGGAATAAAGAGGAGCTCCTGAGCTGAAGAAGCTTCTTGGATGAGAAGCGAAACGTCTTCAAAAGAAAAAATACAAGAAAGTCCAGTTGCCTTTTGAAAACAAAACAAAAACTTGGAGCAACCATGACCTGGAGGACGGAGCATCTCCATAGACATGAGGGGTGTGTGGTTTTCAGCACTCCCCCATCAGGCCGAGATGTGCATTTGGCTAGGTGGTGATGGGCGTTCATTAGATTTATACCCTATCCCACCTCCGGGAGCACAAAACAAAGTGGTGAGTTTAATTCTGCTTTTATGACTATTATTGTAAAACTCCTCATGGGTGACAGAAGAGCATCCGGCCAGTAAACTCTCAGCTCCATTCAGTTGCCCAGACTTTACCCCACAAGGGATTATGAGGTCATTAAAAGAAGATGAAGGTTGTATTTTTCATTTTATTTATCCCTGCAGACCCAAAGGTGCTTTTTCTGAGAATAACTGAGAGTCTCCATAGCCATTATGGCTGTCAGCCACCCAGAATTATGGGCAGCGTACAAATCCCGTCCCCCACTGGTCATTGAGGTGGGTTAGGCTGAGAGATAATGTCTGATGACTCAAAGCCCCATCAGGGCTGTAAAGAGGCAGATTAAATCTCGGCCTTCCCTGTGGCTGGCCCAGCACTCACCCAGACGACGCCACGGGTTACCTGTACAGATGCCGCTAGAAGCATTTCCACACGACGGCAAGCCAGGGTGTCCACCATGTGAGCCAGCACACGGAAGGGAGTTGAGAGAAGCTTGTCCACATACAAGACCAGCACAGCCCCTGACTGGCTCAGATGGATGCCCTCCAAACACTGCAGGGTCTTCTTCACTGCTGTCGGCTGAACCAGGGAGAAAAACCTCTTTTAGAGTCTTTTGTTTTCCAGACTAATCAAAGTATAAAAACATCTTACTTTATATATAAATTTATATGCAGATAAAAGTGTCATGCCCCTATCGGAGTCTGAATCCAAGTAGGAAGACAAACAGCTGACAGGGAGCGGGAGTGTGGCTCCGTTGGCTGTGGAGGAAACTGGGGAAGGGCAAAGTCCAGCTGGGCAGAGCAGGGGAGAGATAGAACAAGAGAGGGGGAGTTCAGTGGAAGACCCAGGCCCACCCCCTCTTCATCCGAGGGAATGCAGGGAAGAACGGAGAAGGGAGCAACATCGGTTGCATGGCTTACAGGGGAGGAAAGGGCCCTGATTCCCTTCATTAGCCACACGTGGGAATGAGAGTTTAAAAGAGATGCAAGCTGAGTGTAGCGTCTGCTGGGAGCAAATGTGACTTTATCTTGTGTTGACTTTGGTTATCTTTGTTCCTGACATCATCCCAACCGGGTTGAATTACTGCCATTCCTTCACATCTGGAACTCCTTCTCTTGCCCTGTCAGATTAATTACCTCAATTTGCCCTGATTGGACTTAAAGTTACAGTTTTTGTTGCCCATGTTTTGGACTTGATTCTCTTGCAGTCAAGGCTGTTCCTGGGAGAGATTTTCTCCAGCCCAGAAGGTAACCAGGACACTGGGGACAAAGTTGGAGCTAATAAAGGGACTCCTACTGATTATCTGACTGTGTTGCCTTCATGCCACGTCCTGGGTCATCACATAAAAGTATAAAAGCACCTCAATTTCTAGCCAAGTGCCTTAACCAGGACAGTCGACCGACTCATTTGCAATGGCCAAACGATCAACAGACATTATCTCCTGCTTCGGTAGCCTCAATATTTGAAGGGCGCCATTACCTTTAAAGACAAACCTCTTTATTTTTTTTTTTCTGCAGAAAAATGAGGTGTGCTAGGCAGGAGAAAAACCACCGGAGAAGAGAAATCTCGAGAACCAAAGTGAAGAACTTACGGAGGCAAAATTCTCACAGCGGGACTGAATCGCCTGGATGAAAAGGCCACTCGCTGCCGAGTTTCGGTGAATGGCACTGATGAAATCCTGGACGGGAGGTTCATGAGACAGGCTGATGAGTTCTTGGACATGATTTACGGTCAGCCAGGTCAAGTGCTCGGAGTCGTGCAGGTTTTGGCACTGCGATAAGAAATGGAATGGGTTCGCTCGAGCGGAAGAGAAGCAACAGGTGGGAGCCAATCAAGGAGAGAGTAGCAACCGAGAACGAAGGAGAAATTTCCTAACAATGAACAAATAACCAGCGGAACACCTTACCCCCAGAAGTTGTGGGTGCTCCATCCCGGGGGGTGGGGGGGGTTTAAGAAGAGAATGGACAACCCTTTGTGTGAGATGGTATAATGTCTCCTGCTCCAGCAGGGGGTTTGACTGGAGGACCTCCAAGGTCCCTTCCAATTCTCTTATTCTTGTTGTGGCCCACCACAACAAGATTCGGACAGTGAGGAGGTTGGGGAGGAACATGTTGTGGTTCACCAGCAGCCTGTGCAGACGGCAGTGGAATCGGACAGTGGGGAAGAACGAGGACCAGTCCGGGAGTCTGGGGAGGACTTGGACGAGGGTCCTGCTTCTGATGCAGAGATGGGGCCAGGGCCATCTGGGAGTGGGGTGCTGACTCCGGAGCCCCTGGAGTCTGGCAGCAGCGAGACAGAGGAACCAGGGGAGCCACTTCCCAGGGGGCATATGCAAAAGAGCTGCTGGAAGGCGAGAGCAGCTGAAACAAAAGGGGCGGCTGGGGAGTAATGCTGGGAGGTGATTGCCCCTCCCATAAGGGATAAAAATCAGGCCAAGATGACGAAGTCTTTGCAGGAAGCAAAGTCGTTCGATTAGTTCAGAGTCATCCTTGAAGCTCTTTGTACTTTGGTTGGTTTTTTTTTCTAGTTCATTGGACACTTCTGTTTTTGGCAGCACTACACAGAAAAGAAAGGTGGGTGCTTATCTCGAGGGATTGTTTGAGATTCATTACCGGCTGCGAATGAAAACAATTCCCAGCATTGCAATAAAATAAGTCTTGTTTTTAAAAGAAGTGTGTGCGTAATTATGGTTTAGGAAGCCTTGGTCAGAACAGAACATGGGCCAGTCCTGGAGTCTGGGGAAGGCTTGGATGAGAGCTCTGCATCGGAGGCAGAGATGGGAGCCAGGGCTGCAATCGAGACTCATGATTTAATTGGGGCAACGGCCGGAATCCTGACACAGAGCTTACCACGTAGTCACAGAAAAGGATGAGGGATCCTTTCCGCACGATCTCGCGATTGCAGATGCTAAGTTTGGAGCCCCCGTCTTCATCGTGGGGATCTCCGCTGGGTTGAGGGCTGAGCAATTTAGCACTTGAGAGACTCTGCCTTCTGGAAGAGAAGGAAAGTGGTTTTAGAAAAACCCAAAAACTACAAAATCCAGGAGTCAAGTTGCCAGAAAGAAAGAAATAAGAAACAGATAGAAGAATTTGCCAGGATAAATGCAGCTGGCTAGTAAAAAGTCCAGCAGCCAAGAACAGAACCAAAGGATGATTGGCTGGCCTAAGCTCAGCAGTGTCTCAAGGTTACACGATCCCCTTTTATAACCTTCTGACAAGCAAAGTCAAAGGGGAAGCCAGATTCACTTTACAACTAACAGAGTCGGCGTATCAGTGAGGTGGGAGGCATAGAGATTTAATTAAATAAATTTAAATAAAAATATACATACATACATACACCCAGGTGATCATCATCTTCTTTTAACGACCCCATAATCCCTTGCGGGGTGGAGTCTGGGCAACTGAATGGAACTAGCAGAGTGTCTACTGACCGGATGCCCTTCCTGTCGCCAATGCGGAGTTTTGTTCAGCAGATATGATCTCATTGTGCCCGGAGAGAGAAATATTTGCTGCTACCTAGGATTGAACTCACAGCCTCCTCATTGTTGAGGTGAGAACTCCACCTCTAGGCCACTCTAGATACACCTGGGCGATGCCATGGCCTAATTCTCAATCCATCCTACAGCATTGAACTAATACATTCTAGAATTTAGGAGTTGACAAAAGAAAAAAAAACTTGAGAGGTCTATATTTTGTACCAAACACCCCTCTGGAAACAAATCCTGCTGAACAATATATATGAATCCCAAATGTCCATCCAGCCTCTACCCGAATGACACCTTGGCCAAAATGTCCAGCCCGGCTGTAGCAAAGAAGACACCATGGGTGGGAAAACTGCCCCCCAGGAACCTTGGGGTTCCTCCCAATGAGACTTTCTAGATGATCCAGTTCTTAAGCAAGGAAGGTGAATTTTGAAAGGCGAAGCTGGAAAACAAGACATTTTTGAAGTAGCCGCTAAAATCGGAATTGGAGATAGCTTTCGGGAGGGAAAGAGTTTTTGAAAAGGAGGAATGTTTATACAAGAATATGCAAAGCAAGGGGCAGCATTTGAAATCACGAAGAAAACATTCACACTGCAGTGGCCCATCAGTGGCCAGCAGAGGTGGTGGCAGACTCAGACAGTGAGGAAGTTGGGGAGGATCATGGGCCAGTCCTGGAGTTTGGGGAAGGCTCTGACAAGGGCTCTGCATTGGAGGGAGAGATGGGCCAGGGCCGTCCGACAGTTATCAGCTGCCTTTGGAGTTGGTGATCAGTGGGGAAGAAGAACAGTCGGAGCCTGTTCCCAGTGTGCTCATGCGCAGAGCTGTCAGATGAAGGGAACAGCTAAGGAACAAGAGTCAACTCGGGAGTAAAGCCACAGGTGGATGGTAAATAAAGAGGAGTGAAAGGGGAGTGGTGTTTGCAGGAGACAATTAGTTCAATTCATTAGGGTGAAGATCTGTTCCTGATTTCTTGCCGAGTAACTGCTGCTACAGCATGGCGTTTGGAAGCTATCAGCCTGGCAGCTCTCCCAGCCTGATAAAGGTCTGTAGTTGTGAAATCTCATGAAAGACTATTTGCCGGGACTTTGCTGGAGAGGAATTCCCTTTAACCTCAATAAAAGGGGTTTTATCGGGACGAGGAGTCAGGCTTCGTGGTCCTGGGAAACCTAGGTCAGAACACACACACACAGGACAGAGAAGACCTGAAGAAGAGCTTAAAAACAGACTTACTTGGGGGTCTGATGAACTTCAGACCACCAGCAGGGACTGGTGTAGTTAACCAGCAGCAAGATTTGACACCAGAGGAGAACCAGGGATGGGTGGGTGGCTATCATGGACTTGACAAGATCATTCAGTCTTTCGAGGGTGTAGAAATGAGGACCGTGTGGTCCACTCTCGGTAAAAAGCTTGGTAGCTGCCACTGTGATTCTTCGGAACATCCCTGAAACAACGAAAGCATGGGAAAAACATCGTTACCAATCAGTCCCAATGGAGACCTTGGGGGTTCCCACTGAAATATTATATGTCGTCCTCAAATTACGACCGCAAAAATCGGAGCCCCCCCCCATTTTATGTCGCTGGCTGAGACAGCGGTTTAGTGAATTTTGCTCCGTTTTACGGCCTCTCGCTGCAGCTGCCAAGTGAACCCCTGCAATTTGTTCTTTTTTTGTAAAAAGATTTTTATTTTTTTCACATTTCAAAAACATCTTTTCTAGTGAACAGCATGATTCCAGGTTTTCACATTTCCATACAAACATGACCTTGGTTGCATATCCATCTTTCACATTTGATTTCATATCCTATCATTACACTACATATTTTCTATAAATTTTCTCAAGTACTCTAATATTCTTCCAACTTATTTTATATATTTTCTATCCATTTCTTATTTCTTTTTAAATAATTCTCATATCTTCATATTCATTATACTTTATAATTTTATCTGTCGCATTTGCAATTTCATCATATATTCTTATTTCATTATTCCAAAAGTTCCATCCTAATTCAAAAACTTTCCCCTATAATTACCAATTTGAGTGTACCCTATACATCATTTAATTAATTCCTCTTTAATTCATAATAATAATTTATCACAATATAGCCACTTCTTAATTGTCACCTTAAAAGTTAATAATAATAATCTCCTAACAACTACGTAACACATATACATTCTAGGCCAGATTCTGCATGGTATTTTCCCCTTCAGTTACATTAAATCATTTATAATTTCAAATAAACTAATCTATTCAACTGATCATAAAAACTGATGCTAATCTTTTTATAACAATTCTCATGTTTCCCCTGCAACCATCACAAATATGAGTCTGTTGCCAAAGGGTCCAAATTTTGGTGGCAAGAAGGCAGGTGTCATGCCCTTGGTAGAGTCGGATTCTGAGGGAGAGGAGGAACAGACGACAGGGAGTGGAGGTGTGGCTCCGGAGGTTGTGGAGGAGGCTAGGGAAGGGCAGAGGCCGGCTGGGCAGTCAGAGGAAGAACCAGGCCCATCCCCTCTGCATCCTAGGGCACGCAGGGAGGAATGGAGAAGGGCTTGGCTTACGGGAGAGGAAGCGGCCATGATCCCCCTTCATTAGTTGCGGCTGGGGAGAATAGTATATAAGAGAGATGGTTAAAACACAGCATTGCCAGAAGCAAACCGTGTGTTAGTTTGGGCTGAAGTTATCTTGGTTGGCATCCTTCCAACAGACTGTGCCTTGTTATCTCCTTGAATTTGGTAATTACTTATCTTGGTCCGTTGTGGAAATTTCATCATTCTAGTTTGGTTTTGTTATTTCACCTCTCATTAAGCTCATTAAGTTCAGACTGTATTGCTTTCTTCTGAAGACTACTTTTGAGTACATTTTATCTCCAACTGAGTATTATTGAACAGTGGGGCCAAGTTGGAGGCATTAAAGGACATTTATTTACATTTTGGATTTTGTTACGTTTGTGTTACACTCTGGGTCATCACAGGTGAGCAGTACCTGATTTGAAGGTATGAATTAAGCACATGAGAAGGGTGCCCAGTTCCTGGCAGTAGAAGGTGTGTTGCTGTTCGCTCATCTCCACGTTCAATTGTTTGCTGGAGATATCTTCCAGAAGAATCCCCACCAGCTGCATTAGGAATCTAGAGAGAAAAAGAGGTGTTTAGAGGCCAGGCACGAAGCACAGAAAAATAAGATAAAGGTTCCCCTCCTTGCATATCCTTGCTAGTTGTTTCCAACTCTAGGGAGGCGCTGCTCATCTCCGTTTCAAAGCTGAAGAGCCAGCGCTGTCCGAAGACGTCTCCGTGGTCATGTGGCCGGCAGGACTAAATGCCTTCAAAGGCGCACGGAACGCTGTTCCTTTCCCACCAAAGGGGTACCTATTTTTCTACTGGCATTTGTTACATGCTTTCAAACTGCTAGGTTGGCAGAAGCTGGAACAAGTCCTGGGAGCTCCCTCCATGACTCAGCGCTGGGGATTCGAACTGCCGAACTGCCGACCTTTCCAATCGAAAAGCTCAGCATCTTAACCACCAAGCCACCGCGTCTCCTATAGAAATATAGGACTTTGCAAAAAAAAAAAAGAGAGGGGAAAAAAAAAAAAACCAATATGCATAGCCAGCCCTGCGGTTACATCTATCTCCTTTGCCTTCTTCAAGGTTACATTGAGGATACAAGTAATCCTCGACTTACAACAGTTCGATTAGTGACTGTCCGAAGTGACGGTGGTGCTGAAAAAAAATTAAAAGCGACGTAGGGCCATTTTTCACATGGACGGCCTTCGCGCCACGCCCCGTTGGTCAGGTGATCCAAATGAATTTTTCACACTTCATGGCCATTGCAGCATCCCCACACTCATGGGATTTACATCTGGATGCTCGGCGAGCGGTTCACATTTACGACCGTCACAGTATCCCAGGGTGGGGGTGGGGGGGTGTCAAGTGATCCAGTGGTGGGATTCTATCAGTTTCCCTACCAGTTCGGTGGTCGTGCACTAACACATGGAGAACTTCTGCACTGAATACTGGTCACAAGGAAAAAGAACCATGCCCTCTAATGGCTGCCTTTTATATACACACCTCTTAAGGGGAATTTTACTCTCCCACCTTAAAGGGAAATACCCATATTCTGCTGAATCACTCTTCTTACATCAGCCAGACTTACATCAGCTTCACAGCATCGTGCAGCTACTCACTGCCGGTCAGTTCTTAACTCCTAATACCTTAACCTGCGCAGCTTTCCAAACACCAGCTGAGGCTCTGCCGCACCAATCAGCTGAGAGGATAAAGAAGACGCAGGGGTGAGTGGGAGGGCCGATCCTGCACATTTCTCTTCTTTCTCCTCACAGTTGGAGCTAACGGGTAGCAATTTTTGCTACCGGTTCAGCCAAACCGGTAGCATTTTACCACCGATGTGATCCACTTTGGCAACCGTCTGACCAGCAAAGTCAACGGGGAAGCCCCATTTGCTTAACAAACCGTGTTACTAATTTGTGATGACCCAGGGTGGGATACAAAACAAACACAGTCACAGAAAACAGGTGAAGCCTCTTTTATTCCTTCACTTTGCTTCCAAGCTCCAAATATCCTTGATGGAAGACAAAAAAACGCCCACAGAGTTACATGAAGAAGGAAAAAAGCAACTCAAACCAGGCAAGATAAGGGCTGGAGGATGTCCCCAGATAACACACACTGGGAAGGACCACCAAACTCAGAGAGGAACCATAAACTAGAGATATTTACATGATTTGTTTCTAGTGTGTGCCAGTACGCAGGTCCAAACTCTTATCCAGTTGTCACACCTGCAGCCCATGAAGAGGATCAAGGCCCTCTCCTCCCCAGTAGACCATGTCTCTCCCTTATCCTCTCCTGTGTGTCCTAGGATGGAGAGGGGATGGGCCTGGGTCCTCTTCTGACTGCTCAGCCGGCCTCTGCCCTTCCCCACCCTCCTCCACCACCTCCGGAGCCACACTCCCACTCGCTGTCAACTGTTCCTCCTCTCCCTCAGAGTCAGTCTCCACCAGGGGCATGACATAATTTGACATTTGCAGCGATTCACTTAACAACCGCGACAAGAAAGTGTTGTGGTCTGCCGGCAGCCTGCGGAGACAGCAGCAGAATCAGACAGTGGGGAGGAACAGGGGCCAGTCCGGGAATCTGGGGGACTTGGACGAGGGTCCTGCGTCTGATGCAGAGATGGGGCCAGGGCCATCTGGGAGATGTGCTGACTCCAGAGCCTCCAGAATCTGGCAGCAGCGAGGCAGAGGAACAAGGGGAGGCTGTTCCCAGTGCACGCATGCGCAGAGCTGCCAGAAGGCAAGAACAGTTAAAACAAAAGGGACGACTCAGGAGTAAGGCTTGGAGGTGATTTTCCCCTCCTATAAGACATAAAGGAGGAGCAAAGGGACAGGAGCCTTTGCAGGAAGCAACTTTGTTTGTACTGGTCGGTTTGAAGCTCTGTATTGAATTTGTGCTCCGTTTGGCCTCAAATAACTAATTGGACATTTAGTTGTTGGTAGCATTTCAAGGGAGATAAAGGTGCGTGCTGATCAGACTTATCCTGAAGGATTTTTGCAGACTTCCATGGGACTATTTACAAACTGTTTGAGACTCATTATGGGCTGTGAATGATTAAAATTCACAGCCGTTGAAATAAATAAATAAGGGTTTGGGGACTAATGTGAGTTTGTTAGTGTCTCCATCTTGGTCAGAACAGTAAGGCCGTAGAATGGGGCAAAACTCACTTAACAAATGTCTCACTTAGGAACAGAAATCTGGGGCTCAGCTGTCGTTGTGTGTCGAGGGCGACCTGTATATATTATCCTCCATTCCTTATCTCAAAGTTTTTATCTTTGTTTTTTTTTAATGGTTGTTTTTAAAAAGCAAAAAGCAAAAGCAAATAGCAGCAGCTTATGATTAACAACCTATACCTAGAAAAGGTCTCCTCAGGCAGGAGCCGATCCTGCTCGTCCATGGGGATCTCCTGAGTGGGAGGAATCTTATTTCCGCCGTTCCGCAGCCGATGGATCGTTTGACAAGAGATTAGGTGTGGGGAAAAGGAGAGCTCCTGAATGCGGGAGAGGACAATGTCTTCGGTCGACTGGGAAATCAAGACCCGAAGGATTGCGAGAATGCCAGAGACCCATAACTGAACGGTGCTCACGGAAGCCTATTGAAAGGGAGAGAGGGGGAGAACCCCACAAAATATTCATTACAGAAATGAATTATATAAACACTGTATAAATATTCCTTCCTCCCCTCCCTTCTTCTCCCCCTTCTCTTCCTTCCTTTCCTTCCCTCCCCTCTGCTTCCTTCCCTTCCCCTTTCTACCCTCGCCTCTCCTACCCTTCCCTTCCCACTCTCCCCTCTTCCTTCCCTTCCTTCCCCCTTCCCTTCCTTTTATGCTCCCCTCTCCTTCCCTTCCCTTTCCCCTCTCCACTTTCCTTCCCTTCCCTTCCTCTCCCCTCTTCCTTCCCTTCCTTCCCCCTTCCCTTCCTTTTACGCTCCCCTCTCCTTCCCTTCCCCCTCTCCTTCCCTTCCCTTCCCTTTCCCTCCCCTCCCTTCCCCTTCCGTTCCTTTCCCTCCCCTTCATTCCCTTCCACTCCCCTTCTCTTCCTTCCCCTTCCCTTTTTTCACTCCCCTCTCCTTCCCTTCCCTACCCCTCCTCTCCCCTCTTCCTTCCCTTCCTCACCCCTTCCCTTATGTTCATTTGCCAGAAAGAACACAGTTTCCCTGTAACGCCCCTTGGGTGAGTGACAAATCCAAACCCATGGCATATCCCCTCCCCCCACTTCTGCCTACAAAGCCCAGGGGGGCCTTGCAGCCAAGACCCCTTTCTAGAGCAGAGGAGAAGGAGCTTTGCTGCTAAGCACGTGGGCAGCTATCGACTGACCCACTTCTCGGCAGGAGCTGAAGGTGCCATGAAGGCTGGTTTTGTCCTCCCCACAACACCCTTGCAAAGAGAAGGATGGGCGCAAAGGGCTGAGGGGAGGGGCACACACCCAAATCCTTAACCCCGGACACCCCAGGAAAGGAAAAAGGGCACCTGGGTTCGTGTTCTGACCTAGGCTTCCCCAATAGCACGAAGCCAAGTCCTCATCCCAATAAACCCCTTTAGAATTAATTTCCTCTCCAACAAAATCCCGGCCAACCATCTTTCAAGATAATGCTCAATTACAGACCTTTTGTCAGGCTTGGGAGAGTGGCCAGGCTGATATCTTTCAGATGCCACAATACTTGGCAAGCATGCCGGAGTGAACTAATTGTCTCCTGCAAAACCCCACTCCCCCTTCGCTCCTCTTTTATTTCCTATAGGAGGGGCCATTCACCATCCACCTGTGCCTTTACTCCCAAGTCGACCCTTGTTCCTTAGCTGTTCCCTTCTCCTGGCAGCTCTGTGAATGTGCACACTGGGAATGGGCTCCAGCTGTTCTTCTTCCCCACTGATCTCTGACTCCGAAGGCAGCTGATAACTGTCGGACAGCCCTGGCCCCATCTCTGTCTCCGACGCAGAGCCCTCGTCAGAGCTTTCCCCAGACTCCAGGACGGGCCCATGTTCCTCTCCAACCTCCTCCCTGTCTGAGCCTGTCACTAATTTCACTGGCCACTGTTGGGCCACAATAGTACATCCTGAGCCCGGACCGAGGGCAGCAAGGCCTCCGTCCCTCTCGCTAAACGGCTTCCTGGCCGGATTCCCCCTCCTTACCATGGTGTTGGGCGTCACAAACATGCTCCTCAGCAGCATGTCCACTGGGCGCAGGGCGGAAGGAGCCAGGATCTCAAACAGAGTGTTCAATATCCCCAGGGCTTCATGGGAATCTATCTGCATCTGGGGCGGTTGGAGGGGGAAAAGAACCAACAGACAGAATGGGATCAACAATGGCTGCAAATCAGCACAAGGAAAGGAGAAGTGAAAAAGAGAACTGTGTTTCACCGTACAGGCGGTCCCCGAGTTAAGACCACAGTCAAGACCACAAGATGTACGTTGCTAATTGAAACGCTGGTTAAACGAGTCCCTGCCCGTTTTACGACTCTCCTTGCCAGAGTTCATAAAACAAGACAGGTGGGTCCTCCAGTTATGACCACAATGGAGCCCAATAGCAACAGCACTTTAGACTTATATACTGCTTCAGGTACTTTCAAGCCCCCTCTAAGCAGTTTACAGTCAGCCTCTTGCCTCCACAACAATCTGGGTCTTCATTTGACCAAATTTGGAAGGACGGAAGGCTGAGTCAACCTTCAGCTGGTCAGGATTGAACTTCCTGGTTGTGGGCAGAGTTAGCCTGCAATTTGGCATTCTAATTACTGGGAGGGAGGGAGGGAAGGAAGGAAGGAAGGAAGGAAGGGACTAGCAATAGCACTTAGACTTATATACCGCTTAACAGCCCTAAGCAGTTTACAAAATGAGCTTCTTTCCCCCAACAATCTGGGTCCTCATTTTACCCACCTCGGAAGGATAGAAAGCTGAGTCAACCTTGAGCCTGGTGGGATTTGAACTGCCAAATTGCAGGCAGCCGGCAGTCAGCAATAGTAGCCTGCAATACCGCACTCTCACTACTGCGCCACCGCGGCTCAAAATGTTTGTGGCTAAATGAAGCATTTGTTAAGTGAGTCGCTGCCCCCACTGTACGACTTTTCTGGCCACCGTTCATAGTCCTCAACTTACAAAAGTTAACATAGTGACCGTTCGACGTTACAACGGTGCTGAAATAAGGGACTTAGGACCGTTTTCCAACATGACTTCTGCAAGCTTCCCCCACAGAGTCACAGGATCAAAATTCAAAACACTTGGCAACGGACTCGTGTTTTATGACGGGTCACAGTGTCGCCCGGAGCCTCGTGATTCGATGGGGGAAGCTGGATTCATTTAACAACCAGGCGATTCGCTTAACAAATGGGGTGAGAACATTTGTAAAATGGGGCAAAACTTCACAGTTTTTGCTGTGTACAGAAAGAGGGAATGTCTTCGCCGAGGGCTATTTGTGACCCTTACCTGTTGTTTGGCCAGCATCGGCAGGATGATGTCGGCTACCTGCCGTGACAGCCTCTTCCACTTCTCTTCGTTCTCTCGGTGGCACTGTTGCAGCACAAGGATGAACATCTCCAGCACCTGCCACCAAAGAGAAATAGCCATAGCCATGGCACTTCACACTGCTGTACAACTTCACGAGGCTTCCCATCCCTCTCTAAGCAGTTTACAGAGTCAGCCTCTTTGCCCCCAACAATCTGGGTCCTCGTTTTACCGACCTTGGAAGGTGGAAGGCTGAGTCAACCTTGAGCAGGTTAGGATCAAACTGCTGGTAGCCGGCAGAGTTAGCCTGCAATACTGCATTCTAACCACTGGGGAAGGAAGGAAGGAAGGAAGGAAGGAAGGAAGGAAGGAAGGAAGGAAGGAAGGAGGGAGGGAGGGAGGGAGGGAGGGAGGGAGGGAGGAAGGGAGGGAGGAAGGAAGGAAGGAAGGAAGGAAGGAAGGAAGGAAGGAAGGAAGGAAGGGAGGGAGGAAGGAAGGAAGGAAGGAAGGAAAAGGAAGGAAGATAGCCATAGCCCTTAAGACTTATATACCCCTTCATAGTGCTTTTACAGGCCTCTCTAATTTATATATCGCTTCATGGAGCTGGGTCAGAACATCTCCTGTTCAATCACTCAGGCACGCAGGCTTGGCGTGCTTGCAATAAATCCGCTGCCTGGAGTTGTGCGCATGTTCAGAGACACAGGTAAGTTACTGGGGGATTTTACCTGGTGATACTGGATCAGCCTCAACAACATTGAGACCACGACTTCCTTCTGGGTTTCGAGTTCTTTCCCGGCATCAGCTTTATTAGCTCCTCTTAAGATGAAGAGGTCATGGACGATGGGCTGCAGAGCCGGGATCGCTAAAGAAAAACAGAGGGTCGTTAGGACCGAAGACACCGGCTATCCCCATTCCTCATCCACAGATTCTCTTGGGCCCGAAACTTAGTTCTTAATTAACTCCCAAAGGTTATCCTGAAGCTGGAGGGATCTACTTTGGAGAACAAAGAGCAGAGGTGGTATTCAGCCGGTTCGGACCGGTTCTCCAGAACCGGTAGCAGAAATTTTGAGTCGTTCGGAGAACCGGCCAACCCCACCTCTGACTGGCCCCGCCCCCATCTCTTCTCCGCCTCCCATTGAGTCCCAGCTAATTGGCTGGGTCTTTCTTTGGTTGCCCTGCACAGGAGAACGGAGCTGGAAAGCAGGTCAGTGGGGTAGGGAGGGAATGGGACTTTGAGAGAGAGGGAAAGAGAGAGACAGAGAGAGGGAGGGAGACATACACACACACACACACACACACACACACAGACAGAGAAAGAGAGACAGGGAGAAAGAGAGAGGGAGAGAGACAGAGAGAGAGAGAGAGAGAGACAGAGAAAGAGAGGGAGAAAGAGGGAGAGAGACAGAGTGAGGGAGACACAGAGAGGAGAGAGAGAGAGAAAGATCCAGCAAAGTTGAAGCAGGACAATACATTTTGTTTTAAATTTTAAGTGCCTGCCATATTTAGCAACTCCTAGTGTGTGGAGTTCAGTTCCATGACTTCTGATTTCCCGTTACCGTGTGTCACTGCTTTCCTTCCGCTGGCCATGATCCCATCACACAGCTGAATAATTTTAGGAATTCCAATTATCTGCTTGGAGTGGTAGCGCTCATACGACAACAACACCAGGAAGAAAAAGACGCTAGGAATAATGGCTTCTGATTCCCTAGTGGGGGAAAGAAAAAGGAAAGAGACATGTTAGACTTCGTCCTCAGCATCAGAACGGGAGTATGAGTCATTCAGAGGGCACACTGGTTAGTTTGATCCTGACTGGCTCAAGGTTGAGGGTCGGCCTTCCCTCCTTCCAAGATCAGTAAAATGAAGACCCAGATTGTTGGGGGCAAAAGGCTGACTCTGTAAGCCACTTGGAGAGGGCAGTAAAAGCACTGTGAAGTGGTATATAAGTCTAAGTGCTATTGCTATCTTCCTTCCTTCCTTCCTTCCTTCCTTCCTTCCTTCCTTCCTTCCTTCCTTCTCATTTCCATCTTCCTTCCTTCCTTCATTTCCATCCTTTTTCCTTCCTCCCTTCCTTTTCATTTCCATCCTTTTTCCTTCTTTCCTTCCTTTTCATTTTCTCGTTCCTTCCTTCTGTGGTGGCGCAGTGGTTGGAATACAGGATTGCAGTCTAACTCTGCCGACTGCCAGGAGTTCAATCCTGACTGGCTGCAGGTTGACTAGCCTTCCGTCCTTCCGAGGTGGGTGAAATGAGGACCCAGATTGTTGGGGACAAATAGGCTGACTGTAAACTGCCTAGAGAGGGCTGGAAAGCACTGTGAAGCAGGATATAAGTCTAAGTGCTATTGCTATATAAGTCTAAATTCTATTGCTATTGCCCGCCCTCCCTGTCTCCCTTACTTTTTGATGATGATGATGAAGAAGAAACAAGGCTCAGAATCACCTGTTAGTGTTAAGCCTCCATTTCGCATAAATATATATAAGGAAACATGCCTATGCTGGAACTTGTACCTGAATTGGCCGACTTCAATGTATTCAAACTGCTTTAGCACAAATCCAATAAATACCTGGAAGCCAAAAGAAACACCTGGATTAATTTCGGCAAACATCGGTGGGTACATTCTTATATTATCTCCATATAAAATTGGAATAAAACAGACCGTGACATCCGATGGGAAGAATAAACAG